CAGGAGGGATGGCCAGGGACTCGCCGGCAGTGGTACTGGGTCCCCGCTGGGAGCCAGCCCACCCCGTGCACCTGCGGCACCAGGACAGGGAACGGGAAAAGTCCCATCTCTAACACAGCAGTGTTTGAACAGGGGTTGGGACATCCCGACCCACCCCCTGGCCCAGCTTAGAGCAGAGCTGTGCTCCAGCTGACGGCAGCAGTGCCAACGGCCAAGGCTGTCCTGGCGGTCCTCCTTGTTGGAGAGGAGCTGAGAGGAGTCCAGGTGGACCTCATCATCTCTGTCTACTGTTACCAAAACCCCCAGGGAGCTGCCCTGCAAGGGTTCTTGGTCAGGGGTGGCAGTGGTGGGACCATCCCTGAGCACCAAAACCGAGACAGTTATTCCTTCCTCCGGCTCATCACTGACCCTCTGTGCCCTTATCACTGTTCCTTCACGCTATTAATCTTCCCATTCCCCCCAAAAAAGGAGAGGGATCGGAGGGCCAGCACCCACGGCCCCCCCCTGCCCCTCTCTGGCCCCTCTCGGAGGTTTTTGAAATGGTAAAGAAATGCATAAACCCCATATGCATACAATGGGGTTTATGGCGGCAGTCATCTGGCAGGAATGAGGAAGCCTCGGGGGCCCCAGAGGTGCCATTTGTCCTTGGGGAGGGGACAGAGGATTTTCTACCGCTGAAGGTTTGAGCTTGGAGGGGGCTGGCGGGGCTGGCAGGGCTTGCAGGAGGGGGGAAGCGCAGCCCCCCACAGCCCCCCAGGTGCTGCGGCAGCTTATCAGCCCATGCCGGCTGCGGGAAGTGGGGATTTCAAAAGCGTTTCGAAAGCACTCTCGTTATTTTTAGGAACCCGGGAAGGGACTGACTGGCTCAGCCCCCAGTTGTGGCTCATCCAGCTTTTTTTTTCCCACCAGCACCTGCCGACACCTGCCTTTTTGGGGAGAGCTTTCCCAAGCGAGCTAGGCGATCGCCGGCTCCCTGGTCCCCAGTGAAAAGTTGTGGTCCCAGTCAGCTAATGGGAGGGGCTGGCCTTGCCCAGCAGGCGGGCTTCGCGCTCCTCGCTTCAGCTCTCAGCCTCCGTGAGCACGTGCAGCGCATCCTGATGTGCGGTGTACCGTGACGGCGATGCATCTCAACAGCAGCGCATCCCGACGGCAGCGCATCCCGACGGCAGCGCATCCTGATGTTGAGCACATCCCAATAGCAGCGCGTCCCAATGCGCAGCGCATCCAGATGGCAACGCATCCCAACATCCCGATGGCACCACATCCCAAAGGCAGGGAAAATGTGTCTTTTGCGGGGCGATGCCTGCCGTCTGCATGGGTCACCCCGCTGAAGCAGGTGGAGAAATGGGAACACGGGGGTAATACAGGGAGGGAAAACATCTCTTTGGAGGATAAAAGCTGGGGCATGGGGTTTGGGCAGACCACCCCTAGTAGTCTTCCCACCATATTCGCGCAGCAGCTGGGGCCCCCTCGGGAGATGGAATTGGGCTCAGACAAGGAAGCTGTGCATCTTCGTGGGTACTGACACCTGCTCTGGCCAGACCCACCTGGCCGAAGCTTTCCGTGGCCTCCTGCCAGAGAGAACCCAAAATCCAAACCACTGGTCAAAAAGGACAAGTGGCTGCTGCCCCATTTGCTGTTCACGCAGCTGTTGGGTTCGGGGCATAGAGAGATGTCTCTTGTGAAAACATCAGAGAAACCCTGGGGATTGAGGACCACCACCACCAGCGACTGGTTGCTGGAGGGGCTCTGACTTGTATGGATGTGGCGTTTGGAGGTTAGAGCCCATGTGGATTCGCTGGTGTCTCATAAAGGTTGTGTGCGTGATGTATTTTTAAGCATAGCAGGAACGTGAAGGGGGAGTAGCTTTCTGTCCTCTATTTATTGATTTGCAGAAGACTCCTGGGATTTTACTACCTCTGCAACTTCTGCTGCTGTTTCAGGCTTGGCAGGAACGCACCAAAGTTCCCAGGGAGGAAACACTGGGCAGACAGTGGGATCACAGGAAACCAAGCAACAAATTTAGGCAGTGCAGGCAAAGCTGGGGAAGGGGCTTCAGAGGGTCTCCAGAGACAGATGCTCACATGGTCGTGTTTCTGCAGCAGAGTCTGTGAGCTCAGGTCTCTGTTGACCACCTTGTGAGAGTGGACACCTCTCCAGGGGGGTTTCCCTGTCCTCCCAGGGCAGTGCTGGACCACGTGTGGGGGGCGCAGGGGGCATGGGTCCTCTGGCAGCCTCTTCCCCCAAGCTTCAGGGCCCACGGGTGCCACCACGGAGGATGCTCGGGGGATGCTGCTGGGGACCGACACCCAGCACGGGCTTCGCAGGGGTGGGTGAGTGCTGCTTCCAGGGGGAGTGGGACTCAGAGGCTCGACGGGGAGCGGCCGGGCAACCTGGGGTGACGCCGGACGCCCCAAGGGAGCGGAGCCGCAGCGAGGGGGCGGCCGGAGAGACAGCGCAGAGCCTGTGGGG